TTTAAAACTGTAAATTTGATTATTATCTTAATAATTTTGTTGTACATATTTATCAAATAATGTCAAATATTTATAACATAACAATTAAGCGTAATTTAACTGTACGAGTTCATTAAAATTAGTTCATAAACTCATCATTATTACAACTATTACATTTATTTAAAATGTATAATCAATTTTTAGTTGAACTTATAAATAATTAAAGTTAGTGTGATATACCTACCACAAAACACTGTTTTAGAGTAAATGACACTATTCTAAATAAAAATAATATACAAAATAATATTCTTTTTAGATTTCTACAAAATAATTGTTACATCCAAAAACATTAGTTTTCGATATAACACTAACAGAACATAAATAGACAATGTAATATAAGATCTGTATAATATAAATTACCTTTTACTTCATAATTAAGTTTCCATCATAGTTTTGTCAATGTATGACTTATGTATAATGTTATGTTATGATACTTTGAATTTTACAAAATCATCTTCCTAAAAAAATTGGTTTAACATATTTTTTTAATAAACATAGTTTACAAAATTTAGTTCTAAATTGATATAACAATATGTAGGTACCACAATATATTGAAAATTATGGCTTGATATATTATATTTTAGCTACATATTAATTTAAAAAATGTATCTTTGAGATGAAATCTTTGACCAAAGTATGTATTTATATACTTTATAGTCATTTTATATTCTCTACATTTTTTTTCCTGTTTTATTTTTAGAATACCAAATATTAATTTTTTTTTCACCCTTAAAATTGCCAATTTTGTTTGCAAAATGTTAACTTTCAGAACTCTGAATTTTATATAATTTTTTGGATGAAACCTACAAAGCTATATATGTATGTTCAGACAAGTTCTGTTTAATTTGTTTTGTTGTAATTTAAGTGGTTTTATTTTATTTCCACCACATCTTATATTATTTATTATACTAGAATACCGACTGTTTCAGCGACATATATTATTCAGTTTGAATAATTTTCATTGGTAAAATTGAATTAAGAGAAAGAAAATCAAGAATAATCGCATTACTAGATTACTAATATGTAAGTTCCATCTTAAGTGTTTATCAAAGATTATACCCAAATAATGAATTCTCCATACTCTGAAAATTTGTTTAAATTTAAGGTCATTGCAGAAATTCCGTCTATACTAATATGTACAGTGTATATCATATATAAAATTTAAAAAATAGGTCCAAGAACACAGTGCTGGAGTACTCCACACACTGATTATTTTTATTACACAAAGTATRCCTATAAATAAGTGTTACAACATGATACAACCTACCGATCATAAATACATGTAGCTCAACCGTCATACTAGGTAATATACTAATATGCCATATTATTATAATATATCCATTTATTGTAAAAAAAAA